AGACACGTTTATCCACTGCGAAAAATATTCGCACTTTTAATTTCCGGATAATTACTGGTTCCTACCGCAAAACTCTTCTTGAATCTGAGAAAATGGCTCTAAATTCGACAACTTTTTTTTTCGCATAAGCTTCGTTTCATATGAACGTCGTCTGCTGGTCACGCAAAAATGTTTATAATCTACGAAACTTCAGAACATCAATCAAAAATGGAATCCACATTTGTCTTCAATTTCTGAGCCTTCACTTCAAGCGACTCCTCCAAATCGGGGTCACCACGTGATCTACCTGTTCACATTGATTTGCACCTATGTGGAATTATGAACAACTAGCTGGCTTACCCGGCTCCGCCGTATCCGGACCAAACTTGGCACACATACACTTCGGGCCCCGGCGGGTGTCACAGTCCACTTTTCGTTATCGATCGATGTCGATTTTACCGATTTTTATCGATTTTTTTGCAGAGTTCACCTACAGGGCTAGGAGTTGGCACAGGGGGGGGGGGGAAGTGAGCATGGGGATTCCGAATACAATATTAGTTTTCAGAATTATCGATTACTTTTATTGATTTTATCGATTTTTTGTAAATTTTGACATGCGAGGCTGGGATTTTGCACAGGGGGGTAATCGAGCATGCTGATTACGAAAAATCGATAAAAGTAATGGACGATCCTGAAAACTAATATTGTGTTCGTAATCAGCATGCTCGATTACCCCCCTGTGCAAAACCCCAGCCTCGCATGTCAAAATTTACAAAAAATTGATAAAATCAATAAAAGTAATCGATAATTCTGAAAACTAATATTGTATTCGGAATCCCCATGCTCGATTACCCCCCTGTGCCAACTCCCAGCCCCGTAGGTGAACTCAGCAAAAAAATCGATAAAAATCGATAAAATCGATATCGATCGATGACGAAAAGTAGCCTATGACACCCGCCGGGGCCCGAAGTGTATGTGTGCCAAGTTTGGTCCGGATCGGTTCAGAAATGGAATTTTCTATTCGGAACATACGTACATACATACATACATACATACATACAGACATACAGACATACAGACATACATACAGACAAACAGACATTCAGCTTTATATATAAGATTAGCTAGCTTACCCGGCTCCGCCCGGCCCTGTCAAAACACTATGGTAAAGCTCCCCCCTATTTCTATACAATCTTTACCTGCGCTCATTTCTACATACAACTCCAACTCCCTATTCCCGCGGTGTTAGTTATCAGCATGCGCACTTATCCTGGCATCTATAAAAATTAGAAGCTATTGAAAACTTCCCTCTCAGACCGAGCGCCAAAAAATGCATTTGAAAATGGAATTTCCAAAAGTGCCCAGGAACTTTCCTTACAACCTAATACTTTGAAAACTGTTAGTCCTCGGGTATACTCCAGGCGATTTCAATCGCGACGCGTTTTGGCCGTACTCCAAATGTTGATAACGCATCGCAAATGCATTCGTTTTCACAAAAGCTAGGGCATTCAACCAGCGAGAATTATACATGCTGTGACTTGTAGTCTGTAGATATTGCATTTGAAGACATCTGGCAGATTGACAGGTCGCGTCGCGACCAAAATCGCATGAAGCATACCCGAGGCCTTACCCTCCATACAAATCGCTCGGTAGTTCATGTGGGTATGTGTGAACTTGTCCGAAGATGTGAAATCACGCAAATCATGCCTGAGGGAAAACACTCGGTAATTCATGAGGGAAATCAGCACTCTTCAACTTCATGAAACACATTAGTGGCTCATCAGATAGAAGAAAAACAAGAAAGAAGAGGGAAAATTTGCAAAAAAAACATCTCCGAAGTGAGTCGAGCTTACTATAGCTTACTATCAGGAGAAGCTTTACTAGGTGGACTAGTGGACATGGCCATCGACCATGGCTAAAGGTGCAGTAAGCTATAGTTAGCACCGAATATTCGTGTTCGAATAATTTATTCGAAATATTCGAATATTCGAATAGTCGAATATTTGAGAAAGTCCATTTATTCGATTATTCGATTAGTCGAATAAATGAGAAAGGCCTATCATCTATATATATATATATATAAAACTCAAAAATTGTCAGTTTGGAGGGTATGTGCGTTATAGAAACGCGCACCGCTCAACCGATTCAGCTGAAACTTTGCACACATAAGTTTTCGACCCCTGCGCAGATGATAGGCTACTTTACGCAGCGATTCGTTGGGTCCTTCTATCGATTTATTGATTTGTTTACGTTTTTCTAAGGAATTGAGGGTTTATCATGTTCAATCAAGCATTTTCCATTCTCATGTAAAGGAGGGCGGTGAAGCTCATTTTCACCTCAGGATCACGAGGATGCGGTTTCCAAGCGGGTTCCAGGGTAAGTCATCCACAACATATAAGAAGGGGGGGGGGACTTGCAGTGCAGGTGACTAATGGCCCGGGCTGGACCGGGAACGCCAACTAGTAACTTATAATAACGGGCTAAGGGTTGTTTACGTTTGTGTGTGTGTCTGTGTGTGTGAATCTCTGTCTGTCACGAAATTCGTAGAGCGAGTTCCAGCAAAGGTCTTGAGCTAGAATTTTGGTAATAGCACCCAATCAGCATGTAGGTAAAATATGCAAAAGCACAAGCCGATCCGATAATTGGAACCTGTGAAATTGTGCGCCAAACGGATCCACGCGACATTTCGCGCGCCAAAGTCGGCCTGTAATTGAACTTTTTCCATAGTCTTGGTTTCCTTTAGCAAGCAAATCCGCAAACCATGGACTCCAGCCCAAAAAGTGAGCAAAAAGTTTACTTCCATGCAAGATCGGCGCCAAAAAGGAGCAATTGCGTAGATGATCGATTTGTCAAGGTTTTACCTGCGAATGTGAGAAAATTTTTGCTCAGAGATGTAACTCATGGTTGTCATCATCTTTATGGCGACTATCAAGCCATTGTAACCCCAGTAACTGATTCAAATTCACCTTTAATCTATTGGATTATAATTCCTTTCCCTCAAAATCACCAATCTTACGTGAAAAACTTTTGAAATGAGTAGTTGTTTACATTTTCATTCGTGATGATCGGCATCGCGAGGTAAGTTTCAAAGCCATCATTTTGCAACTACGAGGAAGGCATGTGGATAGTAGAGCCAGTGCGAGCCTCTGCGAAGCAGAGGTGACGCACTGGTATTCAAATAATTCGTTCATTCGACGATTTTGAAAAATGACTTATTCGAATATTCGTTCATTCGAGGAGTTTTTAAAAAAGGTTATACGAATATTCGTTCATTCGAGTAGTTTCAAAAGATGGTTATTCGAATATTCGAATATTCGAATATTGCATTCATGTATTCGAATAATATTCGAACATTTATTCGAAATCAGTCGAATATTCGATCAAGTTCGGTTATTCAAGTATTCGTTCATTCGAATTTTGGAATGTGCCAATATTCGAATATTCAAAGTCGAATAAAATGAAAATTGAAAGTCGAATAATATTCGTTCATTCAAAAAATTTTCGAAAATCAATTATTCGATATTCATTCGTTCGAAAAATTTTCAAAAGTTGATTATTCGATATTCGTTCATTCGGCAAAAATTTCTGTTCGTTACAACTATACAGTAAGCGGGAGACGGCCCTTCTGAACCCACCGTCCCCTACAGTAATCTGGAACTAGGACGCGCGCGCATGCGCTGCGTGATTGCGGACGAGTGCTCCGCGAAGGGCTCGTATTTTCGAAAATCACCAACTCCTTTCGTGCAGCTCTTTCATAATGGAATGTAAGCCAATCACGCTGATTTCAAGCAAACACAGCTACCATCCTCTGAATGTTTGGTATTCTGAGCCCTACTTCCCAGCAGGTATGTTTATGATTTATGGGACATTTTCGAAGTCTTTTCATTTCCATGATCCATAAAAAACTTCTCATGAATCTCCTTTGAATTCTTTCGAACTTTGTTTTTTTTTTGCTTTTTTCCACTTGTATCTTGTGTGTGCGATCCTTATCACGTCGTGCATCGTCACATCATATTGCTAATGTGAGCTGCTTGATGTTATTGAGGAGAGCCCACGTAATCAGAGTTTGTGTAACAACTTTTTATAAAGGCCAATTATGACTCAAATTGGTGATCTACGCTAATTCGTTATCAAATGCGTATTTCCTTCTGATATTTGAGTACATCTCTGTAGGTTCCAAGAAATTTATCACATTTCCTTGAATTTCTCATTCCTAGTAAAGTTTACGAACGTGCATTTGAAATTTTTACGCTATAAAAAGCATGATGCGTGCAGTAAAGAAAAGGTCGTACCAAAATCAGTCCATGTAGATCACGCTACCAATTGAAGGTGATGCATTTTTATTTGATTGTGTTTTTGATATGGACGGTGTAAAAAAAAACTTCATGCTCATCATAAGAAAAACGTATGCTTCCCTACTGGCATGCATGTAGTGCACATTTCAAGTGAATGTGACTAGATGATGCTGCAAGGAGACAGGCGTAGGAGAGTAGAGCATGCAATCGAACTCATGGAGACCTAGGAGAGTAGAGCATGCAATCGAACTAAAAAAACTGTAAAATAAGTCGAAAAAACATTGAAAATGTCTCATAGGTCAAAAACATACCACCTTAGAAAGCGTCCAGCGATTTAAGTAGCGTGGAGTAGAGCGAATAACGTAGGTAAGTTATTGAATTTTAGGGAATTTGGGGAATTTAGGAACCTTCTAGAGAACTACCTCCAGAATCTCATTGTGGAGTAGGTTACCAGCGATGTGAAACTCGTCCGCCTCCGCAGTGCGTCTGCCCAGGTCAGCCGCTCGCTCCCGCGAGCTAGCCAATCATGGAGTGACCTCTAATTAGCGCTGACCTCTTATAGCCGTCGCGATTGGGGCAGGTTCGGAAGGGCCTACACCCCAGTAAGCTCGTGCTTCTAGGGATAGACAGGGCTAACGGTACGCACGTTATTGACACACGCCTGTTTAGGCTGCGCTATCGTTCATGAAGTCCGCTACTCGTCTAATGTATGTGCTCATTTTGTGTGTGAAGAATGAGTAAATTACAGAGCAGAAATTCTCCGTCCAGGATTGACCTGTGATACACGTTCAAGTTCAAATTTATAGGTGTAGCAAGGCACGGTTATCGAATTATATCTGACAACACCATGGACCAAATATCAACAAGTCTGGAACGATTGTAAAACATACTTGTCACTACGGTAGCGTAGCCTATGAAAAAAGAGATCACATTTCCATACAAAAAAGTATGTGAGAACACTACAAAAAACTCTGCAGAAGTAAAACATGATCATTCCACTTGAGTAGAATATCAGCACCATTCATAGTTTATCATCAAACATAAGGCATGCCGCCCAATCGAATTAACTCTGCGTTTGGGAAACTCCTTTCCAGGCCATGAATATCTGGAAAAAGCATCTTATGATGTACAAATCATGAAATCACACTGGTCACTGAAAAATGGTAGCACATTCATGGCAAAATGGCAGCATTAAAGAGCACGAGTACAAGGTGGTCCATGCCTTTTTCTGCTTGTCGGAAAACGCTCATGTTTTCTGATATATTTCATACAACGATGGGCATTTTCGAATCAAAAATGGCAGTCATGATATGCAGCCACTTTAGCCATTCTATTGTAGTAGATCAGAAGTTCTACCGTTTCAATTTGAAAATTCGTAACTTCTCGCTATCTAGACATATTTGCTTTGCCGTAATTTTATCAGAAAGGGGAAGCCTTTCACTTTGTAAAACTGTCTTGGCGAGTATCCTTCGCACACTGATTCCAGGTATAGAGTTGGATAAAGAAGACCATTCAAGCGAGCATTTTGAATAAGGCCGCCAAAAATCTGAAATGTCGCAGAAAAATCCGAAATCGTTCGTAAATACGTTTTGCGACTCCCTCTTTCCAACAGTGAAAATTGTGCTGATCGGTATTTCTAGAAAGTTATGATTAAAAAAATTGACAAAACCAGTAATTTCGTCATCTTTCAGTCAACACAAACTTTTCACAGTTAAAAAAGGTCATAAAGCTTATGCAGTAAAACCCATGCACTGTATACTTTGGACCGAATCGAATAAATATTCGAGTATTCGAATAAATTTTATTCGAAATTCAATTAGTCGAAAATTTTTCGATTATTCCAAAGTATAATGCACTGACGATTAGGGACGTCATACTTCGCCGAGAAAGCCCAAAAGCGCCAAAAAGAGCCGGAACGCCCCCCTTCCGCGCGCACGTTGGGGCTAAGGCACGTGTTTTGATTTCGCAACCGAGTTTTTTTGGTTCATTTTCTGTCGTCTGCACATCAAAATAATGGCAGAATTCTACCAAGAATTCGTTTCTACGTTCCGGCACTTTGGCGCTTTCGGGCTTTTTCCGAATTTTTTGAGCGCTTTTGGGCTTTTCTCGGCAAAGTATGACGGGTCCCTTAGCGGTTTTTCTGCAGTTTCAGATTTTTGGCGGTGTAAGAGATCGGAGACGGTTAGATCGGAGATTATTCAAGAATGCGATATTATGACTCATTCGTTCAGGGCGTGGTCGACCAGAAGCTAAGCTGAAGGAAAGCAGATTCATTGTTGAGATCGTCCAGCCACCGAGCGGCTGATGCCGCCTACACTCCGAACCACCTGCAGCATCTATCCAACATCGTTGACCTCTGTGATCCGTTCATATACTTTTGCCAATAAATTATTACCTATTGCAGCATTGTTGGTTTCTTACAATGAATGATGATTTGCCACCGTGTTCCTACCGTTGAGTTAGCCGCTTCCACGGCGCTACGTTCACTTGTAAGAGATCGGAGACGGTTAGATCGGAGATTATTCAAGAATGCGATATCATGACTCATTCGTTCAGGGCGTGGTCGACCAGAAGCTAAGCTGAAGGAAAGCAGATTCATTGTTGAGATCGTCCAGCCACCGAGCGGCTGATGCCGCCTACACTCCGAACCACCTGCAGCATCTATCCAACATCGTTGACCTCTGTGATCCGTTCATATACTTTTGCCAATAAATTATTACCTATTGCAGCATTGTTGGTTTCTTACAATAAATGATGATTTGCCACCGTGTTCCTACCGTTGAGTTAGCCGCTTCCACGGCGCTACGTTCACTGCGGCCTAAATAGATAGAAGCTTAAAATCTTCTTTATCCAATTTTATCTCTGCACAACCGTGTTCGAAAGAAACCCGCTATAATAGTACTATAGAATAAAAGGCTTCTTCTTTCTAATGAAATTACGGCAAAGCAGATCCGTCCAGATAATGAGAAATCACATTTCTAAGAAATAGAGGGCAGAAGTTTCATCAACCGAATATTCACTCTTCTTGCTTTAAGTAATGTAGAACTGCTCTCAGCAACAACATGCTGCAGACGATGATAGAAGTGAAGGGATTCTAGCTGGAGAAGCGACTTACTTCACCGTCAAACGGCAGTAGAGAAACTTCAGGAATATATTTTAACACATAGTCGACCCAGTCCGGGGAAACCTCTTCCTTCAGCTCACCAAGAATCTGATCCATCTGCAAAAAAATAGTACTGAAAATGTGCATCAATTATCGAGACTGACAATCTAAAACGCTAAGCTTGGCTTATATTACATGACTACATATGTCGATCGTAATCAAAGTGCACCGAAATCTCCTTCTCGGAGTTTGCCTGCACAGCAGACTTAGCCTGCAATCCAAAAACTATGAGACATGTCTTCTAGTTTTTTTTGTAGTATACCAATCTTTGTCACTCTGACAGTGCCATGTTCAATTGAATTTCGTGATTTCCTATCAAATAGATATACATCATTCATTTGATTAACAAGACAAGTACTTTAAATGGACGTGGCCGTCTACTATGAGATGCATGTCGGCTGAAATACTTCTAAACGCTGATTGAAAATCTGCATTCCTCAGCGAAACGCTCTTCTGAAAGGAGTTACGAAAGCTTGAACCGTTTTAGGGCTCTCTAGACAGTGTCTCAACAAATCTGGGTGCGTGAGTTTTTCGCATAAAAAATGATGAGGAGATCCTAACTAACGCACTGCCCAAGCTGCAGGGGTGGGGGAACGAAAGCCGCCAGGTCCAGCCGCCTCCGCGGACTGCTGGTCCTGGAACGACATGCAACAACGCTGCGAAAGGACCAGCTGGCCGCGAAAGGCGGCTGGACCTGGCGGCTTTCGTTCCCCCACCCAGCTGCAGCGCAGATGGTTCATTCCGGGAAGAAATTCGTCCCCATAAAACCCGCGCCTGCGCCATAACAACCCGAAAACGACTTCGTTCACGTTAGAGGCAGCGTCCGGGCGAAATTTCAAATGGAATTTTCTTCGCTTACCTGGGCTTATTCCTCCCGCTGATTCTGAAAATGCAGCTTGGAGGGCATAAAAACGCCGAAAACGGGATTTTCTAGAAGCCTTGATTTTAATTTTGTCGCCTACCGCCAAGGTTAAGATGCAGAATCTTTGACCCTATGTCTTAACTGTGTGCGGTATGCGTGCTCTGGCTTATCGAACTAACTCGCCGGGGCGTCCCGTCGCCACTTCTGAAGCGGATTTCTCGCTTCAGATGCAAAATGGTGCATTGCCATTTGGACAAGAGCCTTACCAGGACGGGCGCCCCTGCACCCGAAATTTTCGTATCTGCCCGGACGCTGCCTTTAAGGCCTCGGACAGAGTTCACGCGATTTGATCGCCGCGATTAAATCGCTACAAAATTTACGAGTTCATTGTGATCTTCTTGTATTTCGGTTGTGATAGTTAGTCACGATTAGTCGTGTTGGAAAACTATCACAACTGAGTTGCAAGAAGATCGGCATGCAACGATATTGTTACAATTGTGTTGTCGCAATCGGGACGATCAAATCGCGTGAACCAGGGCTCGGCACGAGGTGGCTAGGTGAAAATGGAAAAAACGAAGTCCCCTTGACTTATGAGAATTTTTACGAAGACTTCTTTGACCCTCAACCAAATTTCCTCTAAAAACCTGAAAAATTCCCCAAAATTCCCCAAAAAACGAAACGTCGACTAAAAAAAAGGTCGCCGTCGCCAATTTTCCGTGTCTCTTCGGTCACAAAAACGAAACCCCCTTTGCTTTTCGTCCCAAAAACGATATCCAGCTTGCTTGTAAGCCACCTCGTGCCGAGCCCTGGCGTGAACTCTGCTCGAGGCCTAACACTACGTTCGCGGCGCAGGCGCGGAGTGTTTGGGGATGGATTTCTCAGCCGCGAATGAACCACTTGCGCTGCGGTTTGGGCAATGCCTTAGCTAAAACCTTCTCATCAATTTCCACGCAAAAAACTCATGTGTCCAGATTTGCCTGGACACCGCCTTCAGTTTGAGAACGCTGCTGTGCACGTTGGTGTTGCAGTAAATAGTGGTTAGCGGGCTCGCATCTGAGGCAAGCGATTAATGGTTCTAATCCAGTAAAGAACGAAACCTTCTGCATTTTTGTGAGTTAGATATGCACTTGAACCGTGTACAGACACTTACAGCAATGTTTTTAGCACATTTGATTTGAAGGGAGAATTTTCTGGCACAGCTGCATGTAAGAAGAACCTCTGCATCAGATTCAAGCCATTGACTTTCCGCTTCTAATGCCAGCAGGCGGCACAAGCACGCTTTGCGCACGTTTGATTAACAAGTTCATGGGTGCGTTCTAACGCGTTTCGTGCATTACTATTAGGACTTCGTGAGAAGACATGTTCGATTATTAGAAAACGCGAGTTTAAACATGTTATTGACGAATTCTGATAGTAAGGCCCCGGACAGACTTCACGCGATTTGATCGTCGCGACTGAATCGCGACGAGACAACTGTTACAACATCATTCCATGCCGATCAACTTGCATTTCGGTTGTGATACTTTTCCAGCCCGAAATTTTTGAATGTGAAATGAAAATGAATGGAAATGTCGGCGATTGAGTCGCGACGATCAAATCGCGTGAAGTCTGTCCGGGGCCTAAAGCATCTGGAACGCGTTAGCATGCGCTCATGAACTTCTCAGTCACACGTAGAAAGCATGCTCATGTCTCTTACCAGGGGAAGACCCAAATTCGAAATCGGCTTTCCAAATGAAATATACACCAATCTGAAGAGCATCAAATGCTGATTCCAAAAATGTCTTTGTTTTTTGCCAAGCAGACGCTGAGTTATGAGTTTTTTTTTTGAAATGAAAAATATTAGCAAATTAGAGGTAAAACCAATGGTTATGGTCCTTCCAGCGCCCAAGTAAAGAAGTGTTGAGTACGAGTACATTAACCAAAAGGTTTTTCATGCATAAAGTTCTCTGATATGCAACGCTAGGCCATTAATGCAATCTTGAACAAATCTGTTCCAGACGCACACTCAATTTTTTTGCTCCGAAAAACGCTCTTAACTCAGCGTCTGGAAGCGCTTGGCATAATCAGCTTTTAATGCTCTTCAAACCATTTTCGACTTCGGGTACTTCCCGTGTTAGTCGGAGAATGTATGTTCCTGCTTGTTGACGATGGCTCCAAAAAGTGATCCCAGTGAGCGGTTATATTACATTTCTTTTGTTCTTGATAAACATTTCATCTTCTTGTGTTAGTTACCATGTGCACACTCCTGTCCATCTCATAATGTTTAAAATTCCACAAGAACAACAACAACCCAACACAAGAACTGGCACTAATTCCGCAATTTCTGAACAATTTTTGTCGATATAGGAAGACCTTGGGTATCATTGCTGGCTGTATTGCGATGACTGTTGCATCTGCAGCTTCTGCAGCTTTCGCAAAGAAACAAGAAAGCTTAAGAATATTCTCGTTTGTGTACATGGTCATACACATGTCCCAAAAATTGTGCACACTATTCGCTCAGAGTAAGTCTCTTGCTTCAAAGTCTTTCACCAATTTTGGAGCATTCTGTAGAGCTGGCTTCAACTAACAACAAGATTTGCAATGTGTAGCGAATCAGCAATCTCTCTTCAATACTGTAGGATTACGGCAAAAGCCTATAGGCCTGGTTCATTAAGGGCACGCCTTGTCTAATGAAGGGGGAACGGAACTTACCTACCCAAGATATTCTCGCACCTTATGGGTGTGTATCTGCGGGGTATAATTAGGCATAGCGAGCGCGCTGATTTTAGATGCTCCTTAGGATACAGCGCTAAGCTAAGCCCCGCCCACAAGCACTTTTTGACATGGAACCAAGACATTTATAAATATATATCAATTATATAGATAAAATATTTGAATCACAAAAGCATGTGCATGCAGCGTCCTGTACACATTGATCGTTTATGGACTAGCTCATCTTCATTTCTTTTATCATTAAGGTTACATCCTTAGGGCATGCTGTTCTCACAGAAAAATGGGTCATTCTTCTAGCATTCCGAGAGGAACAGTGAAAAAGCAATTTTACATGCGTCCTAAGGCATGCTTTATTTTTGTGGAAATTTCTTAAGCTAAAAGTCGATTCACCAAAGCAAAATTTCGACTCTGTAAGAAAAGACAGCGCAAAACCAATAGCACATTTGAAAAGAGCGCCTCCGAAAACCCCTAAATCTGTATTTTTAATGAGATTGAGCAGATGTTGTTGCCGAACATCGACTTTGTGATCTGTTGAATTCCCGGTTTCAGATTGATAAAAATGCATCGCAAAAGAGTCGATGAATGGGGGTGGGGCTTAGAATACACACAGACTAGGCTCTGTACACTATGCTAATTGCGTATCTGACTGTTCGTGATACCTAAGGTATGCTGCGGCAAGTCCTTCGGGTAGGTAAGTTCCCGCACCCCTAATGAAGAGATTCAAATAAGCTGAAAACTCTTGCCAGACTGACCAGAGATATTGATTTAGGACATGAAATTTGCAATCGGTGTTTTCACAAGTTTTGCGATGTATAACGTAACAACCAATTTTCAATACTTCTTGAACAAGAGTCTGCTAAATCATAAGGCATAAAACTTATGCAAAGTTGTGTAGTGAGGTAAGCATGCGTGAAAATCCTGATACACAACTTCCCAGATTTTTCGATATTAATTTGCTTCGCAAATCTAAGCCGAGACCAGATTTACAGGATGCCTGAAACCAGCGAAAGGCCTTCGAGCAAGAGAGGTATCAACAACCAAGCCATTTTTGGGACACCCTGTATGATAAATTCGACGAGAATTTTCATTTAATTAAGAGGTTGAAAGCTTGCCTTGGGTTGAATATTATACACCAAATTATATGTTGCCACTATTTTTCTGATGAAATCCAAATATCGCTTGAGATCCTCGCTGCATTCCGGAAACACCAGACCGTCCTAAATAAATTCCTGAGCAAGGCAAAATTGATAGAAATGCTATACATACCAGTACACTCCCCTGCTCATCTACTTGCTTTTCCTGTGATGAAGCAACTGACGCTTGACTGTCTTCTGCTGCCGATTTGCTTATGTTGATCGATGATGAAACGTCCGCACACGGATCAGTTGAGGAGCTTGATGGACTCATCTCATCGCAAAAAGTATTCTCCTTGTGACCGAAACTCCGGGATACGGCGGAAGACGCACGTTCCGTGAATGGAGATTTCTCAATCGGCGATGGTGTGGCAAATTGCTCATCCTTGTGTTTGAAGGCAGCCAGCTTTTGAAACAGTCCCTTCCCAAACGGAGCGCGCTCTACACCTATCTTCGATGCTGAAGTTTGGAGAATGCCGGTTTTTTCAGTAGGAGACACATGTCCGTCTACATCGTGTGCTACACTGGCACCCTTTTGTTCCACGTTCGAATCGTTACCCTCCAATCTACTGAGGGAAAGGCTGAAGAGTGTCGAGGTAAAAACAATATGTTTTCAGATAAATTACCTCGACATCTGCTCACACAATGGCGAAAGGTCATTTATATCCAAGTCCGAGGTCTGGAATAAGGGTTTGCAGAATCGAATTCAAATGCTAGGTATTGCCTACAAAATTCTTTCTTATAGCGTCCGAGCAGCAACGATCATTCAAGCAATTGGTGCAAAACATACATATAATTTGAGTAAATAGATATTCAAATTATATCATTTGAATTATTCAAGTTACTAGGTTGTTTCAAAAGCTCTATCCGACTTGCGACTTTTTCATCTAAAATCTTATAACTTTTCTCAAAACCAATAATTTTGTACAGATTGAATTTTGTTCTATTGAGCAAGTTTATTGCGATCACAAGCACTGTATGCCACATCAGGAAGGCAAGCGAGAGAGAAGAGAAAGTATTTCAAATTCTGCAAGGTTTTCTTCAAAACCGTCCAGTTTGACTTACTACTGTTTTCATATGAGTATAGGCAGACATATTTGGCTGCCATCAGTAAGCAGCCTAAACTTTAAAGGTTCTTTTGCGTTTAAAGAGAACTCGAGTTATTTTTGCTGCATAGAAATTTTTGCGAGCAAATAAAAAAACAACATTATTTGGGCCCTCCCTCGGGTGCGAAAATATGCCGACTTTCCAATATTTGATATTTTTTCTTGCTGTCGCAAACGAAGAGAGCTAACTGTCCGATGGTTCCTACTTGCTCTCGCTTTGCTCTAACATATGCAATATTAAATGCATCACCTGTCGCTATATGTAGAATGTGTCGCTGCAAAACCCTAAGAACATAGCTGCGTTAAACCAAGGCAATTGAAAATCGGACAGAACATCTGAAACAGCCTAGTATATCATTTTCATTATAGGGGGGGGGGGGGCAGGGGAATAAATCAGGCACTTGAAGACATACGAGCATTTTTTACAAAAAAGAGGTCCTGATTGAAACATCTAAGGCTGTTTCGTTCGATAGATAAAGCTTAAAAGCTCTTCTGAAATGTGAATTCCTGTGAAGTGTGCCAAAGTAATAAGCGGATTATTAAAAATGCCGACCATACTAGTGACTGACTACGCATGGAAATGAGATCTCATAAAAAGCAATTATCAAGAGGCCCCATTATTCTCTGACTACCCTGTTAGCAGACATAACTACCCCTCTATGTCATGCCTTGAATGTCTGCGCTCCCAATGAAAGGCTTCAAAAGCAAAATTCAGTGGCTCAAACTATGAAGTAAGCGAAAGCATAACTTGGATGAAAATAATGCTGATTTTACGCTTACTTTATTTCCTTCCAATGTGTTTGTCCGATCGGACTGGATCTCGCATCCGGTAGTATCGCAAGGAAGCTGAAAACTACATATAATAGTCTACTGCTTATATGATGAGTCAAATTACTGATACTGGACGATGACTGGTGTCTCCTGATCACTTACCTATGATAACGGGTACGGAACTGAAAAACGCTCAACTCGCAACAGCAAAGAAGTGAAAAAACAAGCCACAATCCTCCCCGGAATCATAGAAGGCGCAAAGAAACTTTATTTATTTAGCGTCTTTGTTAGTTTTTGACAGTGGTCAGAAATCATGTCTGCTAGGTCACTAATCGTAAACTAGTGACAGTAATTTCAAAGGTGCTAGATGCGGACGCGCTCAGTTCGGGACGCGCTGGTTCCCGCTATCTGATGACTTTTAAATGCACCTTGCGACTTATATATTAAATTAGCTTTCCATGAAGATGTTCGAGCAGCACCTTTGTTCTCATTTAGGGACTAGGATATTAGAGAATCTCGAAACTATTCTAACATTTTTATTCTGCCCTGTGTTTAGTGAAGAGCCGCTAAATATAGGCACTTTTCAACAGACTAATGAAGCAGATCCGTGAGATAGCAAAATTGCGAGTCTGCAAATCTGCAAGCGCATTTCGCTACACTCTTGTATGTCATCGCGAATCTTGTTTCATCGATCAGTGTTGACTAACTTGCACATGCTAACGGGTATATTGCTAGATAGACACAAAGTATAAGCGATATCTAATAGGGCTTGATGAAAAATATTTTTGGCTTGCACACAGAAAAAACACTGACTTACTTTTTGAAACGGAGATGCTTGTAAGCATGAGTCACTACTTTCGCACGCGGTAGTATCCTGCGAAAAGAAGTCGAGAGGGTTAGGAAGATCTATAGGCTCAGGGGCGATGATGGGCAACTGAAAAGTTTGGAAAAGTCACATCATTTATCGAAGCTTCTTTTGCGATAGTCTAAGTGCAGAAATTGTCATTAACCCAACCTTATCCAGGTGATCGTGATTCTTGCCATTGAGAACTTCTGAAGAAGATACGCTTTTCAAGCAGTCTGTCATCGCTGTCGTGCGACTGTCACCTTCGAGCAAGTTGCCGGCCTTCAAATAACAGTATACATCAGTTTGAATACGACTGACCTGACAGAACCACTTTGATTTTGAATCCATTGGGAAACTTAATCGCGTGATTTATAAGCGATAGTGATTTGTCGAATATAGCACATGAGCGTTTGCCACGGTAACTTATCTATTACAGCAACTTTTTCAGCGAGGTCTTTCGGTAGCCAAACTTGAAGTGAAACATGTGCTGCCGTGAATAAATGCAGACTAGCACTGATTTTCTTTTACCGGTAAATTTATGTACTGCAAGATCGGGCCAATGGAAGACATTCGCAAATGAAACCAGAGTAACGCTAATTGAGTGAAAGTCTTCGAACTGGTGCGTAGTCTGTGACTACATCAAAGTGAAAGGAATCACTGCAAGATTATAGGATTGAAAATCAAAAAAAAATTGTCAATTCATGAGCGCAACCCACTGCTTCGCTCAAAATGCACTTCCCTTGAATTTTTGAAACTTAAGATTAGCATCAGAGCACGCTTGCTGCTCTCTAATTCGTTCATATCGTCATCTTGTTTCAAATACATACACGAAAAAGGCATGAATCCAGAAGCATTTCCGAAACAGTAATGGTAAGAAAAACTAAAAGTCAAAAGTAAAGAGTAACGTATTTTATTCTGGAAAAAGCAACGGAACCCAAAACGAAAATTACGCATAGCATTTCTAACAACATTGAGACCCTAAATAAGAAATAATTTCAGTCCACAGAAGAAAAGCTTGCCTTCTCTTTGCCCCTAATTATAGGTTTCTTCTTCTCAGCGTCGCTCTTCTCCAAAAGCTGCTTTTTTGAACAACGGCTGGAGAGGAGAGTGGCAGGTGTCTACAATGCGATGTTAAAAACGGAAGAAAAATAAAACTTTCATAAACACATGGTAAGGGCGATTAACCATTCCAGTTGCTTAAACAAGGTTTGATATATGTCCAGGCCGACCTCATTATAGCGAAGGTATAGGTAGCTTTGAAAAATTGAGAGTTTGTCGACAGCTTTCCCATGGCAGTAAGCGCAAGCAGAATAAAAAAAAATGGGAAAAAGGAAGCTTTATAAGCTGACCATGGTCATATGCGGGTAGTTGAGATGCTTCGTATAAAAAAACACTGATACTTAAAAAACCATCTGATAAATTGGAAAGTTTTGCAAAAGGCAAAGTATCACATATAGCCCTCATCGGTGTCGTGTGGGTGTACTACTGCCATGGCAAATGTAGGGTAGAGAGGACCACGGGACGAGTTCGAGGAATTTTTTGTGCACAAAAGTTTCGGAGTTTCTCAGGAGGCTATCGAAGAAATGGGACCTTGGGTCTTTTACAAAGCTCCGGTAATTCACTACTCAGAAAGTTTTAGTGAATTTTCGCAGGTGCATGTCTTCAAAATCATACATGATCAGGAAAATTGTCTGCTTCAGAGCGACCGGTGTGGATACGACATGATGAGCTAACGCTCAGACAGCAGGTATCCAAAAAACGGATATTCAAAACTGTGAAAATTAGTCTAAATACTCGTTTCTTACGTCTTTAAGCACAGAATTTGAGGATTTCTTGGACTTGACCGGAGACTTTAGATTAGGAGTTGGCTCTTCACATTCCTCCGTTTCTGTTCCAACAGAGTTACATCGCCGATGGTCTGAAAACTAATGACGGATATATTGGACTAACATCATAAGAAACTCACTTTCCCTGTCACTCATCATTATCATTAGATCATATGGAGGATTCGGCTCCCGCACACAATTCATATCACTAAACTCGGGCAAGGACAGTACGTCAATGACGGACTTCTTCCCAGTCCACACTTCAAGAACCTATGAAAAGCATATGGTCTAGGAAAGATAGGAGGAAGGATCGAAACGAATGAAATTCACTTGCTCGTCCATAACTTCTTTGAAGAAGCCTAGATCGACATGGTACTGATCATGAAGATCCTTATCTGGACCATTCAACTCTGTTACCATGGCATGGTAGCGCTTCTGCACCGATTCCCATGCTATCTGCACTTGTTCTATGAACGCTGGTCACACTCGTAACAGCTTTAGGGCCGGGCATACTTCGCGCGATTTCATTCGCGACGCGATTTGGCAACATTCCAATTGTCCATAACTCACTATAAGCACATTTCAAATGTGCAGAAGATAGGACATTTTATCAATCCGTGTAAGTTATACACACTATGCATGCGCAGTTTGCTAGTATTGGATCTGAAGAATTCTGGCGAATTGCCAAATCGCGTCGCGATCGAAATCGCGTGAAGCCCGGCCTTTTTGGTGGTCTTATCGTAAAAGCGATGAAAAAAAAATGACAAAACAATGTAACAATAAAACAAGCTTACCAGGGGCCTTTTCTGCAGGACTTGCTCTCTAGAGATAAGAGCTGCTAAGAAATCGTGAACCTGACACATTTTTCGATTATGAAGAGAAAATATGCATATGGATCTAGCAACCGCTTACCGTGCTGAGATCATGTGGCCGTATGACAGCTATTTCGGGAGCTTGTTTCCTGCTGAAACCAAGATAGCAGTGTCATGACCTCTACAGACAAATAATCAAGAAAGCCCACTTTTCATGTACCACACGTGGTCTATGTCTGATTCTTGGCAAAAATCGCACAGCGAACGGTCCTGCAATCTGGTTGCCATCCGACATAGCACTGCAGATAACGGAGATAGGTAAACACCCTCAAATCGTAGTCATGAGTGTAAATGCAAATGCAATTCAGATCGTAGTTCAAAATTCTTTACAGCAGACTACACAGTGATTCAATCTGACTGTGATTGATTAGCATCTTACAAGGGAAGATCATAGGGTCCAATTGGAGCTTTTGATTAGGCACACAAAGATGTTTAAAATACTTAACTCCTAGGTACGCATCTCCTATCTCACGAAGCACCATCCTTCCAGACCACAAGTTTTCGCGCCACTCCGCAGCGATGGACTTCCGCCTTCGTCCGGGACTAGCCTTTATCTGATGGTGCTACGACCATCGACGTAATACATCGCTTCCAACTTTCCCAAAAAGATATAGTTGGGGGCCCCTCGTACCCCCTAAGGCCTAAGACATACCTCGCGCGACTCAGCTAAATCGCGACGTTCATGCGACCTGGTAGTTTGCCAGATGTCTCCAAATTTATCGTGCGCGGTCCTCCAATAGATGGACGTGTAGCTTCTGTGATTTGTTGCAAACCGACCAAGTTTTGCCTTAACAAAGCTCTCAGACGACCCATTATGAACAGTCAGTCTAGTACCAAATAGCGCAGCGACTGGAATCGCGTGAGGTATGCCTTAGGCCTAAGGCCTAAGGCATACCTCGCGCGATTCGGCCGAATCGCCACTTTCACGCGACTTGGCGACTTGTCAGATTTATGTAAATTTATCATGCGCACTTCTCGGACGCATATTTGGGTAGCTTGTGTAAGTTGTTGCCAACAAAGCAAGTTCTGACCAAAGGCAGCGCATTAACGACAATTACGAGGAGTCGCTGTTGTGCTAAATCGCGCAGCGACCGGAATTGCGTGAGGTATGCCTTAGGCCCGGGCAGACTTCACGCGATTTGATCGTCGCGACTGAGTCGCGACGAGACAACTGTTACAACATCATTCCATTTCGATCAACTTGCATTCGGTTGTGATACATTTCCAGCCCGACATTTTTGAATGTGAAATGAAAATGAATGCAAATCTTGGCGATTAGATCGCGAAGATTAAGTCGCGTGAAGTCTGTCCGGGGCCTTATAAGGCCTAAGCAACGATTAAGGCTCTGACGAAGACGACGCTTTTGCGCCGAAACGTTGGCCGAAGTTGATAAAAAGAAGCTGTCATCTTGGTCGTGTTGCTCAACATCGTACTATGTTCACATCGCTTTCCAATGGTTTTTTTTGACGAGTGACGTACTCTTGCTAGTATCGCAGAGCCGTTGACCACGTCTATACGTGGATAAAACCCAGCGTTTCAAGAGAATTGTCCTTTAAAATTTTCGGAAAGCTTCTGTGATACAGCGGAGATGGGGGAATAATGCCCCCCGACGCCAAATAACATTTAAATTTGTTCATGGTTAGTAGGTTGCTTGTTATGGTTTCAAACCACTAGCACTAAGGCGGTGCTATGCTATAAGATTACGTTATACAGAAAAGGCGTTTGATGTTGGTCCTATTAGTCACCGCAAGCAGATGTTTATCGCTAAACAAAGCGCCGTTGGGGGATATTTTAAAACGCATGGATGCAAAAAACGGCTGAAATATTGGTTCACAGATGGAAGATCGCGACGAGCAGATGATGGGTCATCAACCTTCAAACCCCATCTAAGTTAACGGAATCACTGTGAATGGGTAAGTAAAGAGCTGTTAACGTTTCCTTGGAGGTAGTGGGAAAAAACACTAGCTCACGCGCAGTCATAACGATTATTTATGCTAGTTGATTGATCTAGAAATGAATAGATAAAATCGATTTCAACAGAAAAAAGTAAGTGCAGAAATTTTTAGCAAATAAACGCGATGTGGAATTCGGACACAGAATTTGATCAGAGCACAAAATTGGTCTATGACTGAAGTTAGTTGACCGCACGCTTAAACACGGATAGGAGCGCCAAAAAAGGAAGCTGCTAGTATACTTGGGTCTGCAAGGTCGCGACAGTCCTACAGGGCTCCTAAATTGCAGAGTCGTTTGCACTAGCGGTCGCGCGACCGTTCGCGCCCGGGCATTTTCCGGCGCCGGCGCCATCGATGGAGGCGGCGCCATTGATGTCCGGGCGCGACGCGGTAGCGCGACCGCTGGTGCAAACGACTCTGCAATTTAGGAGCCCTGTACCTGCTGCGGCCAACGGGTCCAAACGTTGCAAAAAAAACGCTCCGCACGAAGTTGCAGATCGACTTCTATGAAAAAACTACTGAACCAGTAATCTAGAGGTGCTACCATTTGATTCAACTGGCTTGGCATCGGCAAAGGCGGGCTTCGTGACCTAATTAAGGCTAGGTCATGATCAGAGAGCACTCACGCGAGAGAGACGCAGGTGCGTCGCGGGCGCGAGCAGCCTCAATTAGATCACAAAACCCCGCCCTAATGGTGCCATGCCAGTTGAATCAAATGGTACATATTTGGAAGAGCGCTCGCTTCGGGACCGCCACGCGGTTTTCCGCTACTTGCACGTTTTTGAATCGCGCTTACGTTTCTTTATATATTGGAATAGCTTTTGCCGCTTACGTACAGGGCTTACCAACTGCAGTGGCGGGTGCACCAGCATCTACAATTTCGTGCGACTCCGCGCCTCTACCGCAAACATGTTCTCTAATCATATCTAGTCGATTGAGGCTCTGTCTTCCCCATGCTCGCGTTGAGAAACCGATTAGCGAGCATTCCGCGAAGAGATGCAAAGTTCAGACGAAGCGGTCGCGCGTGAGCGGAGTGCTGGCGCTCTCAATACTGCAGTTGATAAGCCCTGTGCAGTGAGTTCCAACCTACCTAGTTTAAGTGGAGGTTGAGTTGGCTTTTCCAGGTGAATCATATATCACTTCAAAGACAGCGTCCCGGCAAAAAGGTGGGTGTAGGATTTTTGTGTCGATGTAAAAGTAGACCCCTTCCTAAGGCCTAAGGCATACCTACAAGCGACTTGGCGAATTGCCAGATTTCTACAGATTTATCGTGCGCGCTTCTCGGACGTATAGGCGGCTAGCTTGTGTAAGTTGTTGCAAATGGGTCAAGTCCTGACCAAGAAAGTGCATTAACGACGAAGTACAAAGAGTCGCTGTCATGCCAAATCGCGCAGCGACCGGAATCGCGCGAGGTATGCCTTAGGCCTAAGCGATGATGAAGTTTGTAGCAAAAGAAGGGGTCTATAGTCTGCCCCAATCGGGATCAGGCCGAACCGTCGGCTGAATTTGCGCGCTCGCAGCGCTAGGGATTTGCGTTGCATACGCGCGTTGTCGCAGAGAGCGGAGAGAATGAGGAGAGAGCGGACAAGCTAGCCGCAGATGTGGCGCGAAATCTTCGCGACGCGGACTCCCGCCATGCCAATTTTGGCCTGGTCAGGATTGGGGCAGACTGTACCAAGCCTGAAATTTGCTTCGAAAGTGGCCTGGATTTTGCGGTAGGCCCGAATGCCGCCCACACAGCGATTTCGAAACTGCAAGGCCAGAGCACGCATAGTGCACACAGTCATGAGGGCAGGGTCCCGCAACTACTCTGCTCTCTCCTTGCATGCATCTCGTACTCGCCGAGCCTACCTATCATCCGGGCCACTTTCAATGCAAATTTCAGGCTTGACAGACTCCCTTTTTCGCTTTGAATCTCAGTCATTGTGCCGCGCTGACGCGCGAGGAAAGTTTGAAGCTTCGATTCAAGGTTGTACCGGGAGTGGAGAGGGCTGTACCATTCCTACGCGGAGGCGAGTAAGCGGTCGACCCTCGGGATTCCCTGACATTACGTTTAGAACTAACTTGGTGATGATCGGCGGCTTAGGACGAGGCGGACTCGTCCCGTATTTCCTCCTTTCGTAGTTTAGAATTTTCGTGGTTAGTTCTCTTTAGTGTAGTGTTTGTTGTTTAGATAAACTTAAGTAATCTAGTCGCGCGTTTCTTGTTATGGTTTATTTTCACCCAGAGGGGTAGTTGTCGGTCGCGCCGGAGTAGCTAGCCGGCGCTAGGACGTGCAGGAGTAGGTGCAGGATTGTGTGGGCAGTCGAGCGAGCAAGGAGGTGTTGAGCCCACCGAGCCGCAACACCTTGTGACGTTGTGCCCCAGTCTGGTGGGTCTGGAGATGAGGAGAGTTGAAGATAGAATGTGTGCCGACGAAGACAATGGATCTTTCATTTTTGGCGAAGCAGAAGCCTTGGAAGAAGCGGTGTGTTATGGGGAAGCCTATGCTTTTTTTAAACAATTATAGTACAGGTAATTTCTTTTTCTGCAATTTCTTTTAACGTTCGCCGACAAGAGCAACCGTAGTTTTTCATTCTATGCATCAGGAATTCAGATTCATCAAGACCCTATATCATATAAAGAAGTCAAGGAAAATCAAAAGGAAAGTGTGTTCACTTCTGCTCAAATCATTCCGTGGAAAACAGCCTAGGAAAGTTGCGAACCGATTGTCACACAGACTTCGCAGGCAAAATGAAAGATTGAGGGACACTGTATTGTCGAAGTTTAGCAGGACATCTCTTTATACGACCATGATCTGAAGAAGATGGTTCTTAAAATTAGTCAGGAAGAGCTACACTGAGAATTCTCCCCTAGCTCTCGCTGAAAAGAGTAGTTCAATCGGTGGCAGCTACTACGCATTCATTTACAGTAATGCCAATGTTCTTTGCTGATGGTCATATGGGCCAGAAGTTATTTTTAATACCGCAGGTAATTACAAGATACAGGTTTTTGCATGAAATCAACAAACTCAGGAGAAGGTTGGGAGTTTTCCTAAGGGTTTCTTCCAAACTCGAAACCTAGAGGAGCGCCAATACCACACACAAGATGAACAAATTATTACTGTCGGAGTGGACAAAATCATGTAAGTGTCGCTCTCTTCGCCATCCGAGACATTGCTTTGGTGGATTCCTGGAGCTCCTTCAGAAACCACGAATTCAGTCTGTTTTGCCTGAAGGAGAACGCTTGGAAGTCACAAATATTCCGCCCAGTACCACGGTCCAGATACATCCACCGTTTACTTTCTCTTGCCTTTTAAGGTCATGTATAAGAGACTTTCCTCCTACATTTCTGCACACGGTACATTAGGTTGGCCCAAAAGTTCGTTTGCACCATCAAAATTCTTAGCTTCTCATTTTTCAGATTTGCGTGTTTCCATCATCTAGAAGAGCAATTTTTTTAGCGATATCTTAGCGGCATTCTATTGAGCATACGCTGCATAGATATAAGCGTTATGTAAAAGAAAATTACTTAAATTTTGAGTTTTCTGTGTAGGGTCATAAAATTTTTTGAACTTGCAGAAAAAATCGGAGCTTTTTCTAACTGTGCAAACTTTGTGCTGATTGAATGTCTCTATAAAGTCATAATTTCCGAGAAAAGTGCCAAAATGAATTAAATTCCCCTTTTGTATTGCTTGCTCGAAAATCATAACTTTTCATAGAGACGCTTAATCAGCGCAACTTTGCACTTAGAAAGATTGCTCCGATTTCTACTGCAAGTTTGAATTTTTTCATGACTCTATACAGAAAACTCAAAATTTGAGTAATTTTCTTCTACTCTATGCAGCGTATACTCATAGAATGACGCTAAGATATAGTTAAAGAATGAATTGCTTTTTCAGATAAAATTGAACGCGCAAATGGATGGAAAAACCACGAGCTATGATTTTTTGAAAGTGGTGCGAACGAAGTTTCGGGCCAACCTCTCCAGCTGCTTCCGAAACTGATAACTGCGCAGAGTTCGTTTTATTCGATGCGCTCATTTGAAAAGTTTTTTGTTTTGAACATTTAGTAATAGCTTGCCATAGCTGTATAACTTTTATTTCAAGGGAGAAATTTTCAGTTTTTATGTTCGTACAGCAACGAAAAATTGTGTAAGTTATTGAAAATTCTAGCTTTCATTAGCATCAACATTATTGGAACTTTGGGCTTCGATGCTCGAAACCCATGCACAAGCTCAAACGTACATTTTACAAAAATCGTCATAAAGTTGCATGCGAGGGGCTTGAATCTATGACCTCCTGTTTGACACTTATTAGGCCAGCTGCCACCAGTTCATACTCTTCTATAGTGCTCTTACATAAGAGGAGACATGCTAAAGGGCTCCTTAACCCTAGAGCTAAACACCACTCATAACTCCTTCTACAGAACCTTCCACAGTTAGCAGCTATAGTTTTAGAATCAGCGTCTCAAGCGCTCTAGGTTAGTATATGCCTCATCTGAATAGGCCGGGGCAGCTCGAGATCCTTTCGTCGTTAGATTTATAGTATAGAGCAAATTATCAATCACTCTTTGTTATTGTAAGAACATGGTAGGAACGTTCAACATAAAGCGTTCAACATATAGCCAGCGCTCAACATGAAGTGTTCAACATATAGCCAATCTGATGGAATGTGCCGACTGCCTGCGCTCGTACCGAGCGGCTGTGTTTTTTAGACTTCGATATGGTTCTCGTAACGCCGCTTTGCCCTTCCAAGAAAGGAAAGGGAATGAATCAATCTAATGAGAGATCACAGCTTTCGTGCCTTCCTCTGCCACAGGGAGCGATGATCGCACAGAAGAAGGTAAGCTTTTTGGAAGTTTGCATGCGAATTTAGAAGGCCAGGTCCGGAGGCTTTGCTGCTCATAAATCGATTAATAGCCTTGGTCAAACAGTTTGCCGTCAGGGCCCTTTCCGATGATGAGAAACGGAGTCGCTCCATCGTCATATCTGGAATCCCTGTGCTTCATGATGCTATTGCATCTAAACGCCAGACTCGCATGGAAAACTCTGTGATCTCCGTTGTAGACAAATCAGATAGTGAAGCGAGGCACACCGAGATTTTCAGAAGGGGTAAAAGTGGTGAGAGTCGACCCCGTCCTATCAATTTCGTCTTTTCCTCAAATTATTTCTACCACGAGACGCTGAAGAAAGCTTCTGTCACCGCACTCCCAGGTTTTGATATCCGCAAAGAGAGGATTGAGAGTGGGAGCCAACTAAAAAGATTATGATGGAAGCAAAGTCTACGCAGTATGATATAGAGTGGTCACTTTATGAAGGTTACGGATATCCCAAAAATCAGAAACTCTGTCGAAGAACACTGATGACTTGCGCGGAATCAACCTTGGATTGTTTCTTTTATTGAACGCGAGAAGCCTTGCTAAAAAATTTGTTGAGTCAGATCATTTTGTTCACCTCTACAGAACAGCCATAGTTTTCATAACAGAGTCATGGGTTGGCTCACCCCAAATTTTCCTGATTCTGAAATTATTGGGAATTTTGCCTATGACTTTTTTCGCTGAGATTGTGTGAAAAATAGAGGAGTGTGTGCCCTTAGTCGCTAAATTTAGTTTTTTGAAGTAATGTTGATTCGTGCTCATCGTCGGATGTCGTCGTTTCTAATCTACTTGCAAATCAATATTCGTTTATCGACCCACGTCAAACATACACTCAAGATTGCACAGACACCAGACTACAAGAAGATACCCTTTTTACCACTTGTAGATACCCTTTTTAATGTTGCCTTGTCATTAGCGAATGTATCATTTTTGGGTGACTTCATTTTAAGTGATGTTGACTAGACAACCTCGAAAGCTTTGTCATCCTCCTCTTCCCTTTTCATTCACTATCGAAAGTCTGTTGCTTCTTTTACAACTGATCGCCCTCCCTACGAATGCTTCCGTTCGGGTCTTATATTCTCAAAAAAATAGAAATATTCCCGAGTATTCAAACCCATTCACCGTTGAGTACTGCCGTTATCCTGTTCTGGCCATGGCGATGTCGCCACTTTGTCTCTCGTACGTGACTATTACATTTCTGTTAGGAATTCGATCAAACCAATTTTGTCACACATTTATTGACTGAACATGTTCGAGAATTTCTCTTCTATCGATGAACCTTATGATAGACTTCTGAGTTGATCCATGATCTCATCAGTATTTTGTTGCGTACAAATAAATAAACCCTCCCTTTATGAGATATCCTGCACACATCAATAACCTCTATGTCCGTAGACTTTGCAACATGTGCCATTAGAAGAACCTTATAGGCGCTGTTGGAAAACGCATGATCTCCTAATTCGAAAAAATATCATGAAATTTGATTTGGTCCGAGAAGTTCGACAAACTGATGCAAATGAAATGCCCACTCCTTAAGTACACGAGGTAGATCACGTGGTGGAACGATAGGCATAACGACATTGAACTTGCTGCGGTAGAAGTGTTTTGATGCGTAAATACAGTGAAATTTATTTCGAAACGACGAACATGAAGGTGAGATATAGACAGTTGAAAGCTGAACAGCTTTGAATAGTTGGGTACCCGAAGACCCCTGGGGAATGGAGAAGTTCATCATATAGATTAGTAATAGCAGCCCTACAAGAGTCATGGCAATGCCTGCGTAAAAATCTTAGAATTATGTGATAAATTTGAAAATCAAGCTATGCTCAGGAAAAAAGACTGCAAAACGAAAAGTTTTGTCTCTGCCGCATTCTTAAAGCATTTCTTCGGCTATCGATTGAGTATCTTGAACTCAATACTTCACGTTTGCAAGAAGTGAATAACGAAGTGAGCAAGATTTGGACAATCAGATCAATTTTCTCGTGATGCTCATTATGCGATGGAAGCTCTGTTTGAGTTTTGATGTGTGCATCTGAGGCCGAGGAGATTTGATGGTTCGTCTCCCTTCCAGAGCTGCGAGGATGGCGGAGTCGAACATCTGAATGTTGTTATGGTAAAAAAACCAACCGAGTAAGAATTCAGATACCTGTTTCAAATTGTGCTGTGTAAGTGCGGAGCACTCAAAGAACTCTGCTCCAATTTGATTTGCTAGTTGTCTCCCTTTTGTCGTTGATACCACATCTTTTGAGTTTTGCCAGCGGAGGTCAACTTGTGTTCCGACGAGAACCACTGAAAAAGATAAGCTCGCCTAATTTTTTCTACTTTTCTTTTCAGTGAAGTCGTACATTTTGCGAGCTGTGCGAAAGGCCAAATCGGAAAGTCGCAGAGTCTGTATGTTAAATTACTACTAGTAAGATGTCGTAGGCTCATTGACCGCATGGGCTGGACATCACTGCAGAGCACGCGCCGGGAGGTAGAACGCTTGCCTCCGTACAAATTCGCCATTGTACAAAACGTGCTCTCGCAACGTTTGAGCAGTCCGTGCGGTCAATTATGAAAAAAACTACTGTCAATGCAATCGGAAGATATAATCCAGTAGATATGAAGATCAATCAATGCATTGGATACTTACAAAATTTTGTGTCCCGTGGCCATCTCTTACAAGAAAGCATTGCTCGTAGATGAAACTATTCTAAACAATTCATGAAAACTTTCCGAGGACTGTGGAGGAACTTCTCTAGGACACTTGGGAAAGTCCGCGCAAAACATTAGTTCTTCAAAAATCATCGTGAAGTTAGCAATAAATGGAAGCTTCTCCGGGACCTATTTACAGAACCTACCCAAAGTTTTAGGTGGGCTCTGTAGCTGTACAGGAGCGTTATAATAAATTCTGCTCTTTCCCTTCGAAATCGCATCCTTATTGCGTTATTACGCATTGAACTCAGAAAATCATTACTGTTTAGTAAAGGGCTGGGGTTGCCATTTGATCACAACAATTTGATATACAGGGTGTCTCAGAAAAATGTGCCTACTTTTGATTGTAAATAACTCCCTTGTAATAAAGTGTTTCGAGAACCTTCAGGTACCACTTTGTAGAGCAAAGTTAAACTTAGATTTACAGTATGGAGCGAATCATCTATCGCCCTTCATTACTGTAGGATTACGGCACGAACTTCGACAAGGACTTTGAGCCAATGGAGGCTATATTCTGCCTCAGAACAAAACCAAAGAAGCCGAAAATTCTACTACGTTAATTTGAGCCCTCTGATTTCGAATTTGGAACTTCCGTTCTACTGTGATGCTTCTTTCCAGAGTTATCCCCGTTAATCATAATAACTCAGTTCCCAGCATTTGTCAGAAATGTAATTAAACCTTCAAAAAAGCTGAAAACACTCGTAAAAAGTTGTTAGGTGGAATCAGCATGCGCGAAAACCCTAGTACACGGTTTTTCGAATTTTTTTGAAAAGAGTTTTGTTAGGTGGTAAATTTTATATTAAATACATATGCTGGAAGTTCTTACCGTAATCCTACAGTAATAAAGAGCGATCGATGATTTGCTCTATGCTGCAAATCTAAGTTTAACCTCCCTCTACAAAACGGTACCTGAAGCTTCTCGAAACACCTTATTACAAGAGAGTTATTTACAATCAAACAGTAGGCACATTTTTTGGGACACTCTGTATGGTTTTCCAAATCTCTTTATTCATTTATGCAACTTCAGTCTCCATACTGTTTATCAGTATCATGTCCTTCCTCTCCTCCTTCCCCTCCTCAAGTTAGAGACAGTCTGTGACTATCAATGACATGATGTTTTCCGCTAACTTGGATCTTTTGTTCTGCTCGTAATTTTTATCATGACAACAGAAAAGTTAACTGCACTAGTTAATTCCATCTCCGTTATCTTTTCTTTATCTTCAGCTATACAAAATCAACTGGAGTTACAACGAGCTTCTCCACACCTTCCAAAAAAACTTAGCAAATTCGAGCACTGCCTAGAAAATTGCGGTAGTACTGTTTCCGCAACATGATGATTCTTCAAACATCTTCTGCATTTGTTAGGCAGTGTAGAACTGTACTTCGCCAATAGCAACAAATGTGCTAGAGACTGCAAAAAATTTTGCAAAAAAAGTTGAAAACTGTCAATGCAGCGTCAAGCGAATGTGTTAAATCTTTTGGTGCTTTTCACACACGTTTCCAGCTGCCGAAAGTAGAAAAACGGTGGAAAAATGTCCGTAAAAATTAGGAATTGCAACCCGCTAATCAGCTTGAAAAGTGATTCTGAGGCGCTACGGGAGAGATGTTTCAGGAATCAAGACAAGCTAGAAATTTAAGAAAAATGAAAAGGAGTTCGCAGTTTTGCGAGAAAAGTGGAAGAAAAATCGTGGAATTCTGAAAGAAAACTTCGTAGGGAAAAGAGGAAAGTGCTAGACTCGGGGTTGACATCGAAATTAAGTGATTTGATTTTTACAAGAGCGTAAAGTCAAAGCCACGGCTTTTGCTAGAAGGAATTAAAACGATTAGCAGTGATTTACTTAAAGGCACCGTCCACCCAAAATGGAGGTTGGCGAGATTATGATGGCATACTAGTGTGGGCCCTCAAACTAGGCAAACCCCCAAGCTTCGCTGCAAAAGACTGCTTTTCGGAATCAGGGCTTTCAGAAGTCCTGAAGGCGACGAAAACATTGAATTCGAGGTCTTGGGTGGACGGTGCCTTTAAAGGCAGTGGATCGGCAAAACTCAACAACTCAAAATTTTAACGCGATAGGTTCCTTATCGCTCAAGTATGAAAACAGTGCAATCCTGGTTGCACAGCATGCCTTCTCCACCGAGAAAATGGCTCTCAAACTTATACGCGCAGGAAAATCTTACAAGCTCTCGTACGAATTGGCAATTTCCTCCCCACCATTGGAGGCTACCCTCCGCAGGCTATAATCACTGGGCCCCGCAACGATCCAGCATCATCAGCCTTGCTTTACTCGTCCAATTCCGAAGGGAAGGGCATTGAAAAACGCTCGTTTTTGCCGTTTTCAAGATTGCAGAAGTGGATTTTTGGGATCAGCGTATTTAATAAACCCAGGTAAGCGAAAATTTGACTAGGTTGAGGTTTGCCGAGCCATTGCCTTTAAGAAGACTTCGTGGTAATTTCGAACTTACAAAAATATTTGGGGGTAGATCGCAACTTGAGAGGAACAATCACGAGCAACATTCTGAAATGTCATTTACAGAGGAATTAGTAGATTAAAAAGAAATGGCACTCAAGAGTAAATGAGGGAAGATTAAATACAAATGTTTCACCAAAAAAACTTGGGAGTTAGGATTCAGATAAGTCGGAAAACGAGCAATTGCTATGAACATGCAAAAAGTGAGCGGTAGAAAGTAAAAAGTACTGTGGCAGGAAAGTGGCTTGAAAACACGGGTAACCCTTTGGCTTGAAGAATCAAATAGACTTGTGGCCTGTATATATTGAAGACTATTCAACTGCACCGCAAATTAGCTAAAAAGTTTTTTCTTTTCTGAAATTCACTAATTACTCATCTGTACTTCCACTCGGGCAGCGTGAGGAATCAGTGGACAAGGCCTTAAGTGGCCGAACCGAGGAGACAGAAGTTTCTTACATGTATCATTTCTTACATGACAACATGAGTACATGCATAAAAATTGCAGGTATACAAATGAAGGAGTGATAGCTTTGATCTTTCATGCATCATAGAGAACGGATTTTGCACTACATAGTAGCTTTTCACAGAAAGAAAATCATGCAACAAAAAAACATTCTATGTTGGAACCATAAAAAGGAACATGAAAAAACAAGTTTCGCGGAGAACTGCAATAAATTCACAGCATAAAACCATGAAAACAATGTAAAGAGTGAATACGATTGGAAGTCCAAGTGCACAGCTCATCTACGATAGACTAGATATCGAAGTGAGCATTTATACGAAAAGATTAGATTTTTATGATCGCATGTTGCACTTACGCATGAATTGACATGGCAGTATTACGAGATACGAAACCCTCCAAAAAATCCCTCGCATTATCTTAAAGATTTCTGCAAATTGGAGGATTTTGCGAGGGGATTTTCAGGACGTTCCATTGTGTTGCTTCCGAAGTCAAAGTTCTCTTGAAATCCCCATTTTTGCGCTTCCATTTACCTCAGTACTAAATGAAACCGTTGGAAAGTTTTCTAAAATAGCTTGTCCTCTGGTAGTTCACGTGAATTCTCTGAGTTTAGCCGTCAAATTAATATACAGATGGAAAATGCCATTTGTTCGTAAGTGATAGATACATTTTAAAAACTTACAATTAGCGATAGGGTTGGCCCGATTGATTTCTGGAAACCAGTGCGACGCTATCTCAGCGAAGGATTGAGGATCGACGACAGAGTAGACGATGACAAAAACGTCTGCATCTGGGTATGAGAGCGGGCGAAGTGTGTCGAAAGAAGCCTGTAATTGATGCTCTGATATCTACGGCAAGGACTTTTCAAGTATTGTTCAGTGTCCAAAGTCATCAAAAAAGTAGGTCACATTTCAAAGACTAGCAAAATTCAGATCTCTATTCCTCTGAATTCTATCAGCGTTTCTCTATTGAGCTTGATCGTGATAAACACTGCTATATAGACGGACTTTACATGCCCAATGAAGAGCTTTCTGTCCATTTTATGCTCTGATCCCTATTCTGTTACACGGTCAAAGGATTTTAAGATTCCAGCTACTTTTCAGCTACCCATAGCTCGAAATTTGTTGAGAAATGTGTAAGATTTTGAAAGTTGCGCAAAGTTGCCTTCACCCTCACACTGCCCTGAGGGTAGAATGTGCCAATGGTTTGCTTTTAATCGGTTCAGAAAGTAATTTTCTATCCAAAAATACTTGACAGAAAAACAGCGTGCAAACAAATTTTGATTTCATGTTTGAAATACTAGTGCCAACTTGAAGTAAGACGTAAAAACAACCGTATTCCTTTGATACAAAAACGACATGGTAGTCATACCATCAAAAAGCTTTCCCGGACGAGTCTTAGGACCGCATGCGTCAACATGCCCGCCGGGAAGGGAATCGCACCTTCAGTTCAAACATATGGAACACAAGAGAAGTTTCAAGCCGCAATTTTCAGTTTTTATATGGCCCCTAATGGTCTCCAGCGGGCGATCGTCTTTTCTTCATAGTCACCTTTCTTTTTCAAAGTTGATGGAAACCCCAGAATTGACCGATTAGCTAAACCAACATCTTTGAGCATGTTTCTGATAGAAACAAGTAGTTTTTAGAATATAGAAAATTTCGATTAACCCCAACCTTCGACTTGTGCTTCATCATAATTCTCATGACCTTGATCATTTGTTTTTATCAGCAACTTGCTTAGCGCTGTTGGATTAGATGATCGGTACAACTCTGAAATGTTTTTATCAACTCAATGAAGGGAACTGATTTTGAAGGAAAGCGGTCGGCCGCTGGGGATCATCATGGAACGAACCACACAAAAAGCTGCGAAATGCAACTTGTACAACTTCTCTCTCCTGCTCAATATGCCCATAGTGAAGGACAGTAAGAAAATTACGGGTAGGTAAACAGCCTGAAATCCAAACATCGGGAGCATGAAGCTGTGGACATCTGGGCCGGTATGTATCTCCCGAACCGTGACCGGGAGCTCTTTAACCATTGGAAATGAAGGCCCTGCCGGGAGTGGGCTCTCGACCCATAATGTAAGAAACTCACGGGCGCCCAACCCGGACAGACAGGGAAGCCCGATCTCGCGGGAGCGGGCACTAGCGACGGGAGATGCAACTCATCGCGTTTTTTGCTGGAGTTGGTGAGTCTTTCATTTCTTTGCTGTGTAACGTCCTCCTTCCTTACTGAAAAGTTCCGGAAAGGGCTTGTTTGTTGATTTTTCTTGTTTTTGTGCTCCGTCTAAAGGAAGGAACGAAACGGAAGCTTGTTTTCTTTCTTTTGTTCAATAATTTCTTTCTAAGTAGCTAGGTTTTGCAAGTAACCATAACGTACATGATTGTGATTTGCATGCAGTTCAACTACTCTCCATTATCCCACCATGTTATCCTTACTTTGACATTTTGAGCGCAACTCACTTTCATTCCATCATCACGGATAAGTTAGAACAAAAAAGAGTAGTTAGTCTCATGATCATTTTCAAAAACGCATAAATAAAAGTAGGAAGTGAATAAAAGTACATGCGCATAATCACGGTAAAGTAAGTTTCTATTGCTCAATGCAGTTAGACGCCAGTTTCAGATTCCTACTGAGATCAGAGAAAAGATAAAAAATATGTCAAAGAACGGAAACACGCACGAACTCACATTCGGAGAAGAAATAAACAGAAATGAGTGAATGGCGTCACTCTCAAAATGCTCCAGGAGGAATAATACATGCGTCAGCACGCATGCTACTTATCCCCAACTATGTAGTCCGGGCTCTTGCCCTAGTAACATCCCAGAATGATGCATCGCAAGTGCGGGCGCCCGCCGGTTGGGTAACGACCCAGACGGAAACCCCTTCCCGAGAGGGAGACTGATACATACCGGCCCTGGACTTCTCGCTGTCTAACCAACCGCAAGTGTTTCTAACACCTTTTATTAGAACACTAGTGAACCAGTAATTAGAGGTGCTAGATTACATCCGAGCGTTTCGGGACCGCGCCTCTTTTTTCCTCTTTTTTCACCTTTTTCGCCATCTGTTTTTTTATACGGCTGTACGATTCCTTATGTATTAGATAAATTGAATAGATAGATATTGAACGGGAGCGATAAGCTGTACAAGCCACATCTTCCACTTTTTACATGCCCTCCCTCCCTCCTCCGAGGATTCCGGCCTTCGGCCGTCTTTTCTTCAGGGTTATTTTTCCTTCCGAAGCAAATGAAACATCCTAAGGGCGTACTGATTACTTGAGTCACTGGTGCTAAGCATGTTTCTAAAATGAACAAATGAGTTATCAAATTCTTTTCAATAAACCTCAACTTTCAACTAGTGGTTCATCGCAATCTTCTTGACTTCGATACATCATTTGTTCGTATCAGAAACAAGCATGACACTGTTGAATTAGATAATCAATACAGTGTTGGGACGTTCTATTCATTTCAGGGAAGGAAGATTGATTCTGAAGAAAGGAAGGGGCGCTAGGGATCATTAGGGGATCATACAAAAAGCGAAAAACGTGGCTTGTACAATTTCTCCTTTGAACAGAGGGAGAAGCTGTACAAGCCGCGTATGTTTCGATATGTTTATACTGAAGGGTAGTAGAAACACTTGCAAATGGACAGATAATGAGAGATCAGATGTTTAGAGGTACAGATTACGAAACTTTCTTTGAGCTATGTTCTCCTCCTCAACGGAGATGTTAGAGTATGCGGCCCTTAGCGTTGTCTGATCTCATTCAAACTTGAGTAAATTATAAACTCTATCACCCCAACTGTGCGCAAATCTCCCCTAACCTCGAAGAATGCAATTCCATGCGCTTCATTGTTTTCGATTATGTCGAGCAACGTTGCGATCGTCTACATCATGTTTGCATTGTCCGTTATTTTGATTCTGTCAAACTGTCAACGGCCCACTGCATTGCCTTTGTCCAGCGAACATCGCTAACCAAACATATTTTTGGTTAATCGCGCCACTGCTGAATCCATAGTCACCAAAATGATCTTAGCCTATTTGGCCTTTCTTGTGCTCCCTTCATGTGACTGGTGAGTTGTTCTATTTATTGCTGTGTTGTATCTCGGATAATCGAAAAAAGCTTGAAACACAAAGTAATGCTAACTTCCTTCAATGTAGTCTTGTTTGTTTTCTTGAACGAGCATATTTTTGAAGCGTTGATTTATTGTAGATAGGGAAACAGTTTATTGACATCTACAATTTGATGCTGGTGCTTTACTTGAGCAAGAAGAAAGTCAACATTTCTTGAAGCTATATGAATTATATATTGCTACTCACATAACCCATACCCACACGCCAGCTTATCCATTAAGGTGAAGCTATGTGCATATGTTGCAAACTGAGTTTTGCAGTTCTTATCAACTCTGCATAAATTGCTATGTTTTCGATGAAAGATAGAAGAATCTAGACAAATTCTTGATGGTGGTGAAGAGATTTAGCGAGATTGAAAGCATAAAATAAAGTCGTGGCAATCCACAACACGTACAAATTCCGGAATAAACTTTTGATTCTGCGAAGAACAATTTGAGCACAACCTCATTTTACGTAAACATTTGTGGACTATTCAAGTGTAAGCATTCACTTCACATTGTTGAAAAGTTGTCAATCCTCGCTAAAAAGTTTTTTCGTTTTTTGGCTTATTTTTTCATGCACACATCACTTTTTTTCCTAGTAAAATATTCTGAAGTCTGGGCACCTGTCCAATCATTAAAATAAGCTACTCTTATACCAAAAGTCATTTCCACTCACTGATATATTTACTTTTGCTTCGCAAATCAAGCGATTTCATGGCTCCATCAATCAGAATCCGTAAAGTGGAACTGAATTCCTCCTGTTGAATGCAAGATACTGACCTCAGTTTGACATAAAAAATCATCACGCAGTTTAGGAAGCCTCAAAAAGTACTCAGAATCAAACAAAAATTCCAAACTCCAGAAAACTGTAAAGTCAATTTTGAGGTAGCGTTGCTACATTAGTGTGAGCCAACTTGACGAAGAGAAGACATCGTAACTCACATTTTATTTACGGAAAGTTCAATAGATCTATAGCAACCTTATGCTATTCTCTTTGCAGCTCACATTTTTCTCAATTCTTCGTCAAGAAGTACTATAACTCAACCGCCGTACAATCCCAGCCATTCATAACGCAAAAAGATGACATGAAGTCGTACTCGTTACGTGTTGGACCGCTGGCAAGAGGAATCAAGAATCTCAGTGAGTTGATTATACAGACTTTTTCGTTGCGATGTGCAGCAGATGCTTGATAACAAATAACTGGAAAGAGATGGGAAGGTAGCCCTTCTTTTTTCTACATCAGCTGTTTGTTAGCAGTCGAGCTTATGAGTATGTGACGATGTTTTCTGCAGGTACCAATCAGAAAAATTTTATAAGAGTTCATACCTTCAAAACTCATGCCGTGGCATATATGAGCAAATAGTTAAAACTATTTTTCTTTGTGATCATAAGTGTAAAAGGAGAAATGGCTACGCTAGACGGGGCTAAGTTCTTAAACCCCAATCAAATACGCGTTCCCAGAAACCCAGATATTCACGATGTAGAATTATTCCAACCAGGGCTCGGCACGAGGTGGCTTACAAGCAAGCTGGATATCGTTTTTGGGACGAAAAGCAAAGGGGGTTTCGTTTTTGTGACCGAAGAGACACGGAAAATTGGCGACGGCGACCTTTTTTTTTTAGTCGACGTTTCGTTTTTTGGGGGATTTTGGGGAATTTTTCAGGTTTTTAGAGGAAATTTGGTTGAGGGTCGAAGGGGACTTCGTAAAAATTCCCAAAAGTAAAGGGGGACGTGCCGAGCCCTGATTCCAACCTTGACTGAGTCTTGCAGTGTGACCTCTCACTCAAATCGCAGTCAAATTGAGGTTTACGATTGACTTTATTACTAGCAAACAACTGGTAAAGTTGTATGTGATTGTGAGCAACTCCTATATTGGCGCCGCCAATCTTAGGCTCTTGTTAATTTATTATTCTACGGACTCAAGGTTATCAAAACTATGTATTTTTTCTACACGCAAACTTATTGTGAGGTAAAAATGCCACTGAAAACGTAAGTTATTTAGATATATTCTACATGTTGTACCAGGTAGAGTTGCTAATAAATAACTCTAAGAGGAATATGATGCGTAGAATTAAGTCAAGAATTACAGGGTGGCAACTGAAATCTTGTCTATTCAGCTGCAAAACTTAACGATTTAATAGCCATTGTATCTCAGTGGATGTGGGTTTGGAAAAAGAGTTAAGAAAGCGGGCAGCTAGAAAATTATTTGCTCAGGTTTGATCGATATCAGCAAACTTTGGATTTTGCAAAGCTGAACGTATTCAAGGTAGACGAGTTATACGGCGTCAATGTAATATGACGTCACCATGAAAAAAATGTGGATACCACAAAAACTAGACAAAATCGCTTTAGCCACTGCATCTATTCGATAAAAAAGGAATAAAACTTGCCTGTCCAGCTGTATCACATAACTGCAACCGAACTGGTTTTTTATCCACTCGTACCACCACTGAAAATTAACAAATTAATAATTAAAAAATGATTTCGTAGAAAATGCACATGCATCAAATTACGATTTTGAATTATTTATACTTTTGTTACTTTGACAACGCCAAGTCTCTGTTTTTTGAAGATACATAGACTTCCTCTTCCCACTTCAAGAAACAGGTATTGAAATGCCCCATTCTTGCGCAAATTATAACAGATTCTTGAAAATGTTCACTATTTTTTTTTACTTTCCATATCTATGATAAATTTGATATTGTTATGAATGTTGCAAATTCTATTAAATGAAAATGACAATTCTTTGACTTTAACTTCCTGTAGACGCTTTCGATATGTGCAATTTTTACGAGATCTAGGATCCAATGAAAAATTCGCTTTTAACGACTAAAAACTAAAAGGTGTACAAACTGAGCGCCTTTTATCGACAAATTGTACCGTTAAAATATGACAATACTAATTTTTACGCTAAACGCCTTCAAAAAGTTGGTTATTTAAAGTGCCGTCATACCGCGGGCAACCGCCGCTAGCCGCTTGTAGCTACTTTTGCGCACTATACCAATATTTCAAGGTCTTTCCAAAAAGTTAAAAGAGTTTGATATTTGTAGCAAACATGCCCAATAACCCCACTAGGCCAGGTTTGAGCAGATTTGTGGTTTCGATAGTGAAATCCGGATACTGGAATTGTGCTCAAAACGGCTAGCAGCAGCTGCTGACACGGTCTGAAGACACCCTTACTCTTTCCAATAACCTCGAAACAAATTGATTCACCGAAAGAGAAATCTGTTTCATGAAATTTATTGAAAAAAAACTCAATAAATGCTTTAACTTGTTGTTATGAAATCTGGTCTGGTTACAATGATTTCTAGTTAGACTTTACCTGAGTAATTGTCAAATGCTGTGGGAACATAGGTCTGAGGATATCCATTTGTAGTATAGGACACTATCAAGGAGGTTTTTCCCACTGCAGCATCTCCTACCAAAACGCACTTCAGTGTTCGCACCGGCTCCGCCGGGTCTGACATCTGTAACATTCAGGTTTTAATGTGGCAAAGAAAGGTTACATCGTTTTTGGGGTAGAAGAAAGAGCAAGTAAACTATTTCGCGAGTAAAAGCACAAGGATTTTTTAGAGCGATGCAGAAGTAGTATAGATCAAAGCACAATAAATATTATGTTTTCAAAGTTCGGACCATTTCCTGAGTTCAGTTTTGATTTGCCATAAATCTTTCCAAATTTTATTGCTGTGAGCGTAACAAAAGGCGTCACAATCAGCAAATTCTTATTACTATTATACATGTTTCAAAAATAATTTACATAATAAGAAATATTTTCCAGCCGGAAAATCGACGTGCACTCGTATGGTTTCAGTAATTTCAAGTACCGCAAATCACTCTGAATTGTAATAGGTTAGCACGAACTCTGCTCAATATGTAGCCAGTGGTCGGCTGAGCATTAAAACTAACTTCAGATTCCAAGGTCCAAAGCAGTTCCGTGATCGTGTGCTCTTGTGATTTTTATGCAACTCAAAAGGGCTGGTTATGCTTTTGCTAAAAACTTTCTAGGTTGAATTTTTTTGAAAAGCAAACTCTCAGCAAACTTTATACTTGTCAAAAGTCTCTCTATTGCCTTCGGATCTCATAGAAATAACGCAAAATGGAAGAAAAATACGCATTTTTGTTGTTCTTCCAAGGTACAGAATCACGAATCAAATAAAGTATAAACGAGGACGTCCACTATAGAAACGAGCTTTCAGATGATACAAGTAATGTTTCCCCCTGGCATTCAAAAGATGTGCAAAATTGGGCAGAAATTTTGAAAGATCCATGGCATCGATAAAACACAACATAGTATAGAATACACTGAAGGTAAATACCACGAAGGATTTTTATAGCTTGAACTGGCTGTGTTATGTGGGCGCCAACCTACTTTCTGGTATTTGAAAGGGATAAATCAACATCAGCACATCACATTAGCTTGTTTTATGGTTCCTTGTTTTAGAAGTGCAAATTCCGAAGAAATTTATGGTGCTAGGATAAATTGCATTAGGAAGCATGACATGAAAAAATGACAAAAAGAATTTCATGTAAAGAAAGAAAAATTCTTCTGTTTTGGCGGAGTAAGTGTTCACGGACAATACTTAACATCAATTTTTATATTTTGTTCGCAGAAAGTATGAGTGACTATAGCTCTGCATTTTTGGTATTTTTGGCGCACCTGCAAGTTAAGTCAGTAAATAAATAGACAAATAAACAATATACTACACTATGAGCTTCATGTTAAGATTTTGTGGTCCAGCTAGCCTAAGACAACAAAATTTTGAAGCCAACTTCAACGCTAACATATGAAAGCATTTGCAAAATTCAAGCATGTCGAATTTTTTCGCTTTGCAAACGACAATGCAATAGCATCGTCAGCTGCTATTGAATTACGTGGTGTTCAAGAGGTAGTCAGCTAATGGCTTGAAGAGCTAGCGTCCAAATGCTGGTTGTAAAACTTATGTAATATGCGAAAAAGTATTCGAATCCCGAATATAAACTCTGACTGAAGTCCAGATTTTTTCTTGCACTACAGCGACCCTTGTTAGTAAAAAGAAAAAGTGGTAAGAGTTGTTTCTTTTTACTTATAAACTTGCGTTGTTCCGAACCAAGATAGTGGTAACCTACATAAAGTTGAACTTCGAGTATCAAACTCATTTGAGACGCAGTTTCTCTCCTTATAAATCATTTTCTGTTTTCATTGAAACTTGAGAGAAATCAAATCGTAGGGACTAGATATTGCAATGAGACCACCGCCAACCGCGACTAGCCATTTGTGAAAACGGATCCGATACACTCTATTTTCCAGAGGAGATTCTTATCATGAATTGTGGGTTTCTTTATGGATAAATCTTAGCAAGTGGAAGCAAGTTTTTTTTACAAAATTCAGAAATGTGATCTAAATTCGTTTTCAAGATTACATTAAGCGAATTTTGATGTGTGTATCTCTTAAAATAGCGATAATCCTTGTTTTAATTTTTCAACAATAACTGAACAAAATTAATTTACGGCAACAGGGGAACTTTTTGATGAAAGTAACGTTGAAGTAGTGTTGTATTTTTGCAATATGGACGTTAGTCAGTTATCTTATCAGAAAACATTTTTGCTTCGTGATAAAAAAAATGAATTGAAATCATGTCTGTAGTGTTTTCGCAACCTAAACAATTGATTTTTACCAACCTGATAAAGTGTCTCATTTTCTACCAAGAAAATCATCAATTTTCTAAAGCTAAAATTGATGTTTGAACGGTATTCTGCGAGAATCAAAAGGGATGTGATTTACGATCTCATATACTCAAGCTAAAAAAATCGATGTTTGAATGATTTTTCTACGATAGTTATCTCACATGGTAAATTGAAAGGCATGTAAGTTGTAGGTGACTGCTGTCTTGACTTTGGTTGGAAGAAAAGATGAGAACCTTTTATGCCCTTCTCATTTGATTTTTAAAAACAGTGATTTAACAGGCACTAGTTTTCATTAGTAATAAAAACATGCATTTTCGAGCATATAAAGAGGAGAGAAAAGCGAAAATGACTTTCATGGTGACAGATTAACCTAGTCAATAAGAAGAAGTCCGTCCTCACTCATTATTTTGTTTAACGCAGAATCATGAATCCTAACTAACAAGGGAATGGTCAGAAGTCGAAGTGGCCAATCCATACAAGCTGCATACCATTCGATGCAGCATAAAATGCTGATTTCAAATCTGTCTTCCATATCTGCAGAGCGCCTTTGTAGGCGAAGTTATGAGCAGCTTTACTGCGAAAAAATCGTACACAAAAATTGAGAAATTAGGCACATTATTGCTCGTTCAGCTCAACTCTAGGTGCTGGTCTTATGAAGTCACCTAAGTGCGTGTTTTGGTCCAAACTGAGCCGAGAATGGCTTTGTACGGCCAAGTTTGCCCTTTTCACGCACAAATCCTTAGCAAATTAACGACTTTTAACGGCTTATAACTTCGCTTACAAAGGCGCTCTGCAGATAGGGAAGACAGATTTAGAGTCAGCATTTTATGCTGCATCTAATGATATGCAGCTTGTATGGATTGGTCACTTCGACTTCTGACTATTCCCTTGTAAGAAGTAGAGTTATAGCAGAGAAAGGCCCATAGAAACATTATCACAATGTGCTTCTATTGTCTGATGTGCTAGTCCATTCGACTGCACATGCACTTGTTTGCTCAAGTGGTGAGGAAACAATGCAAACAAGCACAAAAAACACTTTTTCACAGAGTGTAATCCGATCACCAAAAAAAGTTGTCAATCATCTTTCGACATTAAAACCAGCCACAGGATTTCCATTTTTGGGACATACCAGCTTGATAGTCTAGTTCTTGTGCTGAAAAAAATTCCCTCAGTGTTCTTCTGGAATATCCCAGCACATGTTATTATTCTCTGGATATAAGGATGGTTAGGGAGAGCTTCGATCAAAGGCGGAGCTATGAAAAACACACGATTCATACTAGTGGCGGTGGGAAGAGTGGGGAGGGCAAAATTTTTTTTCAAATGAAGGGTGTTAGCCACGCTCTCCGAAAAAATTTTTGGGATTGCTTCCCATTTTCCTCCATACTATAAAAACAAGTCACCATATTTTTACCCACATAAGAGAATTTTAAAAAATTTCGCAACCCATTTTTGGGGGGAGGGGGAGGGGGAGGCAACTCCAAAGGAGTCAATAATACTTAAGTTGTCGACTCAGTGCTCATCTAGAGACCACGCAAATCACGATTACGGAAAAGGAACATTTCGGTTTCTTATGGTAACGATATTTCATGACAAACTTAGAATAAGGTCACGATAAAGCGCCCCTTGTTATGTAGTATAGAATGTAAAGTACAAAAATACAAGAACCCAACTTCGATAACTCGAAACAATTCATTCTTCAAAAGTTCTAGCAAATAAGAGCGTTGAAATTTCCTTTTACCTCTCGATTTCCCGTTCTTGTGCATCTCGACCACTAGTGTAAGTTTACTTCAACTGACAAAAATTTACTCTCTCACTAAAGGTTTAAGAAAATCTACTTTCATGTGAAAAAAACCGAGCCCATGATGGAGTCATTCGTAATTTTCTGAGATTACACAAAGCATACGTCACGTCTAAGATCCACTGTATGGGAGACAAGGTCACGATTGTCAGTAATAGTCAAAAATGTCTCTTTACACTTGTTTGCACCTATTTCTTGAAATAAAAAAACCGGAAAAATTCTTTGAAAATCAAAAGAGAACATGCTCGAGGACCGTCATTCTGTTGTGTTTCTTCCTCAGAGCATTTTTGTGTATTTGTGAAACAACTTTGAATTCTGGATTTGAAATTTAAGCAATTTAGTTCTGTCTCTGCCAAATAACTGCATAACAACGTTAGCGTAAATTCTTTTTATTGATGCGACGTTTGATAGAATATTCTTTGATATTTTGAAAATTTTTAAAAATCCAAACCTATCATATTGTCATTGATGGTCAATTTTGACGATCAGTCATAATTACTTTAAAATGTAATAAACCTTCTGAGGGAGGCAAAAGGACTTTAGTAATGTTGTAAACATGAATGACATCCTTATTATTGCATAACAAAAAATAGACTGAAATGGTTGATAGACTGGATCGATCTCTCGAAACGTTAGAAAGACCACCAGATTCGAAAAACCTTTGAACGGAGCATTCTGCATTGTATGTCTACTCATGCATATGGCGAACATATGGAGACTTTGAAATGAGCCGTCACAAGCAATCAAGGACTAATAAGCCAAACCTTGAACAAGCACCTGTAAATCAAAGCGTTTTTCGATCAGAAGATGGAAATGCAATGGTGCGATGACTAGTGCACATAGGCGATGATGAATAATAAGCTTGAGCGGCACAACTGCATCCTCTTTCGCTGTGTGCGGTCGTATTGTCAGATAAAAACGGCGATAAACATAGCTGTGCAGGCGCTTAGATGAAAGCCAAAGCATATCAAAAGTAAGAGTACGTGAGTAGGAGCTACGCTGAGT